ACACACACACACACACACACACACACACACACTTACACAGCAACAATACTAAACACGAAAAAGTGGAATAAATGCAAAGCGGTGACAATGCGATTTACAGCTGTCCTATTAAGATTAAGCATGCTATTTTCAGTTGCATATTCTATCCGTTAATGCTGGATTTGGCCTAAAGGGCTGAAACACTCAACCAAACAGAAAATGTAAAACTGTTGAAATTAATTGAGAAAACATAAAATTGCACAAAAAAAAAGGAAATAAATGAACCTAAGAACAGCAAATGTTTTAAGAAGATGGGAGAAGAGGAGGGGGGAGGGGGCAAGAAGCACTTTGGGCACAGAGTCAAAGCTGGGATGTGTGCTGGAATCTTCCAACTGTAATGCTCAACGTTGACTTACAGAAAATGCACTGTACAGAGAAAGATGTCGCCTATGCTGGCAGAGTGATAGTTACTACTGTGAACATTAAGATAATAATTTACCTGGTAGCGCCGGTGGCACAACGATCGTAATTATATCCAAAGCGCGCAAAACAACTCGCTTGAATGGAGCACCTCGGATGATCATAATTACCACGCTGTAACCAAAGCCGCAGGCAGCGATGCAGGAAAGAAAGCCCACGAATTTGAAGAGATCTTTTGTAAAGCGAAAATCCACAGGTTTTGGATACATTATTGAGCGTACTAACTGTCCTTTCAGTGTTGTGTAAGCCGTTCGAAGGACCACTGCCTGTAACAGAAGCAACGCTGACGTACAGTTATTCTAGCGATGAACTATCTTCAAAATAAAATGTAAAGGCCATAGCAAGCAGAATCAAAAACGGATGATCCAAATAGAGCGGCTGAAGAGGGTGGAACTGTCAAGAGGTTTTTTACGGCCGTTGGTAGGCCAAACCATACCTTCTGAAGTAACGGCCCAAATCGCAGGAAATACGGAAAGGCCGCAATCCTTAAATTTTAAAGGTGGGAAGGTGGAATTTGCCAGTGGACTGTGATGGGGAAAACAGCTGGATTGTTAATGTGGTACAAGCCATACGAGATGTTGAAGAGTATTCAAAACTCCCTTTCACTGGTTGAAAGGGGCAAAGGCCTCTTCCTGGCCGAATTTTCGTTTCGTCATCAAGCAAACTTTGTCAGAAACTAGACCTCAGTATGCCAAGCATACCAGTGCCTTCCTGCTGTTGCTAGCCGGTTCATTGTTCTTCACCACCATCTTCACCTTAGCCTTCTTAACTGCCTGCTATCAGCTGCCCGAAAGACAGGCACTCTCAACTGATCAAAATTTTGCTATTACAAGCTCAATAACTTATTCTATTTCATTTTAGTCTTCTAATCTTCTAACCTTCACACTTTTGCCGGCGTAATAGCGCGTCTGCAGTACTCGGGTACCACAAAACAGCGTATGTCTAGAATGCTCCTTCAATGAAAATGATTCTTCAACTGCTGGCAAGGCAACCTGAAAACAAAAATAAATAGCAGTGGACATAAGAAAACTGACGTGAGCAGATCTTTTTGCACAGCTTCGGCCAAAAAGATCATTTTTACTGGCTGCTAATTAACGCGTTTTCGATTAAGAAGAATTCTGATTAATTTATAACTGTTTAGTTTAATCGTTTAATTTTATTTCACGTCACGTTCAGCTCAGTAATTTAACTTCTGTTCCACACCGACAGCATCCAGAAATGGAAATAAAAAATGCAAAAGTAAAAAACATAAAAAAAAGGATGTATTAAAAATTAGTTCCCTTCTATCTAAGATCAGTACTTCAGATCCAGAAAGGGCTAACACTAGGTTTATGAGCTATTATACAGCAAAGTACTAAGGGGCCGAGAATTCCAACGTCATGGCCTGTTTGATCGCGGAAAAAACTCGTAGTAGGCAGAATGTCACATAAAGAATCTTATTAATAAGCGCTTTTACATCTACATTAAAAATAAGCGCAAAAAGAAATGTGTGACGAAAAGCAGAATCATAAGTAGGTTGACCAATCAGTAGTACTGTGATTTTGATTACAGCATTCATGAGATTACCTGCCGTATCGATGGCGATAAGGAACACGATGATGAAACACTAATCAAGGTATCAAAATCAGCATCGCGTTCATCGCAACGACTGTTACTGAGTTTTAATTAACGGCCCACTAGCCATACAAAAATTACCTTGGTTACGGGAACAGACTCTCCAGTTAGCACTGATTCGTTAACAATCACAGTGCCATTAATTAAAACAGCATCGCACTGCATCAGGCAACCATGCGAGGGGATGAGCACAACATCGCCAGGCACCAGCTGCAACCATAGCAGTCATTCAGAACATTCCACGCAAACTAATTCTGGTTTCAGCCGGAATGCCCAGCTGGCAGCACTGGGAGAAAAGTAAATTTAAAAAATCCCTTAATAAGCAAAAGCAAAAAAAAGCCTTCGGTTCTTGGCAATACATGAAATATGGAGCCATTTTTCTGCATTCCGAACGACTGGACTTACACCGTAATCACTGTCAAGTCTACAGACACTACATTTACGTAGCATAAAAGATGCGATCAGAGGGTCACACGCAAAAAATAAGTGTAACTTTCCCACCGAAAAATCAATGAATGGAGGGAATGAGCTTCCCTGCCCAAGAGGTTAAAATTTTAAATTTTTTATGACTAATTGCAGAGTGCGGTCGCATAATAAGTCACCAGCCCAGCGACAGGCTCTTTCAAAAAAACTACTTAAGATTGCTAAGGAAAGGAATGCAC